AGGGCGTCTGCGTGAGGCTCCGGTTCCTCTTCGTCCACGCGTGGGCCCGATGCGGCGCGGCGCGGCGGGCGCCTTCGGGGGCCGCGTCGACGCGCGCCGCGGAGGGGCGCGACGTCGACGCGCGGGCGCGCCGCGCGCGCCGGTCGCCCGCCCGGACGCGGGCGGCGCGCGGCCGCCGAGGCCGCGGACGTCGGGACGCGGCGCGCGCCCAGGCCTGCGACGCGCCGGGCTTCGGCTGCGACTACGACGCGTACGGCTGCCCGCTGATCCGCGAGGCCCTCCAGCACTACAAGAGCTGCGTCGATCGCCGCTGCGGGCCGCCCGCGTCCCGCGAGCGCCGACGGCCGCGCGCGGCCGGCCCGGCGGCCGCGCCGCGCCGCGCGGTCGCGCGCGCGGCGGAGCGTCGACGCGCGCTCGCAGGCGAGCTCTGCGCCCCCGTCCGAAGCGTCGTCTGCGCGAGGTTCAGCGAGGTGGGCGCCCGCCAGTGACGCGGCTCCCCCGCGGCGGCGCCCCCCTCGTCGTGCACCGCGGCCCCTCGCCGCGCCCCAGCGCGCGGACGACGCGGCCCCCAATTCACCCCCAATTCATCGCACCGCGCGCCGGGCCGCCGGGCCCGGCCGCGCCCAATTTACAGCCACGCGAGATCCCCCGTCGCGCGCGCGCCGGCGACCGCCAGATCGGCGTGGGACCTCCGCCCGCGCGCGACGCCCGTCCCCGCCTTCGGGCCCCGAAACCCCCTGTACATTCCGAAGACGCGGGGCGGAGGTCGGGGCCGAGGCCGCCGAGGCCGGGTACTCGGTTCGTACTCACGGCAAGGACCCCGGCGAGCGAGTCACGGATGCTCTCCGGACGGAGAGGCTGCCCACCAAAATAACTCTCGATCGATGGCGTCGGGCCGCGCCGTCCAGGGCGTGGTCGTGGCGCTGGCCAGCGACGAGGACAGCTCGTCGGACGACGACGAGGGCTGGGGCGCGCCGGCGCTCGACGAGCTGCGGTCCCTCGTGGCGCGCGACGACTGGGACGCCCGCCGCGACGGTCCGCCGGCCCTGCGGCTCGCGCGGCGGCTCGGCGGCGCCGGCGCGCGCGACGCGGGCGACGTCCTGAGGTTCTGCTGCGAGCGGCCCTGGCTCGGCGCCGTCGCCGAGGCGCTCGCCCACGGCGGCGGCGGCGACGTCGACGCGGCCGACGCGCGGGGCGACACGCCGCTCCACCTCGCCGCGCGCGCCGACAACGCGCGCGCGCTCCGCGCGCTGCTCCGCTGCGGCGCCGACGCGCGGGCCACGGACCACGAGTTCCTCCGGGCGCCGCTCCACGTCGCCGCCGCGCGCGCGGGGCCCGACGCCGTCCGCGAGCTGTTGCGCTTCGGCGACGCCGCGCGGCGCCCGCGTCACATCTTCAACTCGACTTCAATGTGAGCGTACGCGACGGTTTCGACGCCATCTCTTCGGCTGAGCTTCGAGCACTCGATGAGAGCCATCGATTCGTCCCAAAATCAGCCGAATCGATGTCGATGTGATCGAGATAGAGAGTTCCGAACGACGCCGCGCGGCGCCCGCGCCCGAAGGAAGGCGCCGGGGCGGCCCCCGGACCCGGCGCGCGCGCGCAGGTGCCCGCGGCCTTCGCGCGGTCCGAGCTCGGGTCGCCCCTCGAGCTCGCGCGGCTCCGGGGCGACGGCCGCGCGGCGCGCGAGGTCGCGGAGCTCCTCGAGCGCGCGGTCGCGACCAGGGCAGGACAAGGGTGATTCAACGTCGCTTCAACGTGAGTGTTCCGCGCGCGCCCGTTCTGGAAAAAGCATCCACGCTTCGAGACCGTTCCGAGAGATGATCGCTCGTCCAAAAATCAGCCGAAACGAGTGGAAAACGGCCGAGAAAGGAGCCTTTGAAGTTGGGAATTTCGCACTCTTGTCCTGCCCAGGTCGCGACGGGCGCGCCCGCGGCGCCGCCGCGGCGCGGCCGCGCGGCGCCGGACGCGTTCCGCGAGGGCGCGCTGGGCTTCCTCCGGCGCCACGGGGGCCGCGGCGGCGGGCCCGTCGCGCGGCGCGACTTCCTCCGGCGCGGGCCTCCGCCGCGCGACGACGAGGCCGCGCGCCGCGAGGCCCCGGAGCCGCCGCGCGCGCCCGGGGGCCTGCCCCGCGAGGCGCTCCGGCTCCGCGGCCGCCGCGCGGCGCGCCACTTCCTCGTCGACGGGCGCCGGCGGCCCGCCCGCCGCGCCGGACACGATGATTGGTCCGGCGACGCTCCGCGCGCTCGGTCGCGTCGAAGCGCGACTCCGGGACGCGTCGATGGCTCCCGGCGCGTGCTTTCCCGAGAGGCGTCGCGTCGCAACGCTTCGATGCGCGGCGCGTGGACGTCGCGTCGTCCCCCGCCAGGCCCTTCCGCGCGACAATCGCCGACGTGCGCCTCGACGACCGCGCGGCGCCCGCGCCCCGGCGACAACCCGACTTCAATGTGAGCGTATTCGAATAGAACTCGACGAGAGCGATCGATTCGTCCAAACATCAGCCGAATCGACCTCGATGTGACCGAGCGAGAGCATTTCGACGCGCGCGCGGCGGCGGCGGGACCCCCCCCCCGCGCGGCAGGCCACGGCGCGGTGGCGACGCTGCGCTACGACGACGGCGACGTCGAGACCGTGAGCTACCGCACGGCCGCGCGGCTCGCGGCCGCGCGGCCGCGCGGCGCGCGGGGCCTCGGCGCGCCGCGCGGCGCGGCGGCGGCCGGGCGCCGCGAGCCGCCGCGGGGCCGCGCGCGCGACGAGACGAGCGACGAGGCCGAGGACGAGTCGCCCGACCGCGCGCGGCGGGGCGCGCGGCGGCGGCGGCGCCGCGACGGCGCGCGCGCGGGCCGCGGCGACGACTCCGACGCGTCGTCGCCGGGCCGCGTCGCCGTGGGCCCGAGCTCGCCGCGGGGCGGCCACGACCCGGCGGCGCTGACGCCCGTGTCCTGGGAGGCGCTCGCCGTCGGCCGCGACGGCCGCCGCGGCTTCGAGCGGCGGCCGAGCCTCGACGACTACGGCCTCGCGGACCTGCCCCCAAAGCTCCCGCTGGGCACGCCGTCGCCCGAGGACGGCACCCACGCCCAGTGGGGGCGGCCCTTCGCGAGCCCGCGCGACAACGGCTGCGTGCCGACGCCGCGGTCGAAGCCGCGGGGCGCCGCGGCGCCCGCGGCGGCGCCCGCGGCGCCGCGGCGGCCCCGGGCCGACGGCGCGGCGCCCCCGGCGCCCCCGGCGCCCCCGGCGCCCGCGGCGGACCCGCGGCGCGCGGCCGCCGTCGCGCTCGCGGCGCCCGTGCGCTACCGCGACGGGCCCGCGGGCCTCGTCGACGCGCGCGGCCGCGTCGTCGAGGTCTACTTCTCCGGCGCCGCCCAGGCCTTCGTCGCCCGCGTCGCCTACGACGGCAGCCCGGGCACGGTCGTCCTGCCGCTCCTCGACGTCGCCGCGCGGCTCTCGGACGCGCGCCGCGCGCCGCCCGCGCCGCCGCGGGGCCGGCCCGGAGCCGCCGCGCTCGTCCGCGGCGGCGGCCCGCGGCGCCGCGGCCCGCGGCGCCGCGGCCCGCGGCGCCGCGGCCCGCGGATCGCGGCGCCGCCGGCCCGCGGCGACGAAGTCGACCCAGGACCGGAGGCTCGCCTCGTCGTCGAAGGCGACGAGCGCCTCGTCCGCCCGCGACCGGAACGCGACGGAGAGCTCGCGCCGCGCGTCCTCGGCCCAGGCGACGTCCCGGAGCTCGAAGGACGTCTCCACGTCGCCGGCCTCGTCGACGACGGCGAGCGTCGCGTCGTCGCAGCGCAGGAGCCGCGGGCACCAGCGGCCGCCGCGCTTCCAGAAGGTCCGCGCGCGCCAGACCTCGACGACCGACTCCTTGCCGCACCAGTCGGCGTCGCGCTCGTCGTCGAGGTCCCCGACTGCGAGCATTCCGCGATCACCCCGAGGCGAGTTGGATGAAAGGCGCGCCGAGGCGTTGCCTTGACGCGTCTCTAAACGTAGGGGGTTCGGGAGGAACCGCGGGGGACGGGAGGCTCAGAGGGGTCTCACAGGCGCCGGGGGCGCCAGTGGACGGCGGCGTCCGAGGCTTTGCCACAAGGTGAGCGAGTGAAAAAGCTTGTCGGCTGATCGTGAGCTCCCCTGAGAGGTGACGAGGCAACCACAGGCAATGGCAGCGCGCGGCGGCGTCCGATCGCATGCATTTTTCAATTCCCGGAACTGCAACGGCGGCCACTTCTCGGTAGGCCGCTCGTCTTTTCGTCGCCGCGTCGCTGGTCGTTTGCCTCGCCGCGGCCTTCGGCCCCGCGCCGCGGCCCGGTCCGCGGTCCGCGGCGTCCGTCGCGCGGCCCGGTGCGACGGCGGCGCTGCTCTTCGACTGCGACGGCGTGCTGGTGGAGACGGAGGAGCTGCACCGCCTCGCCTACAACGAGGCCTTCGCCGCCTTCGGCCTCGAGACCGGCGGCGCGCCCGTCGAGTGGTCCGTGGCGTACTACGACGTGCTCCAGAACACGGTCGGCGGCGGCAAGCCGAAGATGAAGTTCCACTTCACGGAGACGGTCAAGGAGTGGCCGGCGGTGCGCGGCATGGGCGGCCGGCCGACGCCGGCCGACGAGGCCGCGGGCATGGCGCTCGTCGACGAGCTCCAGGACTACAAGACGGAGTGCTACAAGCGGCTCGTGACCTCGGCGGTCCCGCGGCCGGGCGTCCTCGAGCTCATGGACGACGCCATCGCCACGGAGGGCCTCGCCGTCGGCATCTGCTCCGCGTCGACGCGCGGCGGCTTCGAGAAGGTCGTCGACGCCGTCGTCGGCCAATCGCGGCTCGCGCAGCTCGACTGCGTCATCGCGGGCGACGACGTCGCGAACAAGAAGCCCGACCCCGAGATCTACGACCTCGCGGCGACGCGCCTCGGCGTCGACCGCGGCGCCTGCGTCGTCGTCGAGGACTCCCTCGTCGGGCTCCGCGCCGCCAAGGCCGCGGGCATGCGGTGCGTCGTCACCTACACGGCGTCCACGGCGCGCGAGGACTTCTACGCCGAGGGCGCCGACGCCAAGCTCCCCGACATGTCCGCCGGCGTCGACGCGACCATGCTCTTCGCCGACGGCAAGCCCAGGGCCGAGCTCCTCGCGGACCTTCGCGACGCCGCCTAGGGTAACGTTGCCGACAACTTTCTCACTGGCACGTTATTTTTTTTCACAGCTCGGCAGCTGCACAGTCACCAGGTCCTCTTTGTTCGGCATCCGGATCCAGCCGCCCGCGCCAACGCGCGGCCGCTCGAGGCTCGCGACGGGCGCCGCGGTCCGGGCGGCTTCGCGCTCCGCCCGCTCGGCGTCGCGCGGCGGCGCCATGCTGTCGCGGCTGGCCATGGCCTACGCCGACGCCTACGCGCGGCGGCCGCTGCCGCTCGCCGTCGCCACGGGCCTGACGGTCAAGACGGGCGCCGATGCCTTCGCCCAGCTCGCCGTGGAAGGGCGGCCGCGCCTCGACGCGCGGCGGACGCTGGCCATGGCCGCGTTCTCCGCGACCGTCGGCGGCGGCTGCAACTACGTCTTCGTCCGCGAGGCGTCGAGGCTCCTCGCGGCGCTCGGCGGCGGCGCGCGGGGCGCGGCGGCCGCCGCCGCCGCCGACGTCTGCGTCTTCTGCCCGCTGCTCTACCTGCCGACCTACACGCTGGCCATGGGCGCCGCGGCCGGCGCGTCGCTCGACCAGGTCGCCGCGCAGCTCCGGGCCGGCTACGGCGACAGCTGGGCCGCGTCCGCGGCCATCATGGGCCCCGCGCAGCTCGCGAACTTCCTCTTCGTGCCCTACGCGCTGCGCCTGCCCGTCATGCTCTCCGCGGCGTTCGCCTACAACGCGACGGTGTCGGTGATCAACATGCGCGTCTCCTCGCGGACCTTCGCCCTCGCCGGCGAGGCGCGGGACGCCGTCCCGGCGCGCTAGGCGCGCCGCCCGGTTCGACTGCACATAGCCCCGCGCATCGCGCGATCGCCTCGACTGCACAGACCCTGCACATACCCCGCACATAAGACGGCCCAATTCGACGTCCAATTCGCCAGTGAATCGCCACCTCCGCCGAGCCGAGGCCCCCCGCCCGATCCGGGCTCGCGCGCGTCCCTTAGGCGCCGCGCGCGGCCATGGCCGCGGCGGCGTCCGCGGCGGCCTCGAGCGCCGCGCGCGCGGCCGCGGGGCTCTCGAAGCGGACGGCGTCGCCGCGGCCCGGCAGGAGCCACGTGAAGTCCCAGTCGTCCCCCGCGCGCGCGACGGCGCGCAGCGACGCCGCGTGCTCCGCGGCGGAGTGCTCGCCCTCGAGGGCGAAGGGCGCGACGGCGCCCGCGCGGCCGTCGTGGCCCGCGAGGCGCCCCGCGAAGAGCGCGCGCTGCCCGCCTGGGCAGCAAAAGGGTGATTCAACGTCGCTTCAACGTGAGTGTTCCGCGCGCACGCGTTACGGAAAACACATCCACGCTTCGAGACCGTTCCGAGAGATGATCGCTCGTCCAAAAATCAGCCGAAACGAGTGGAAAATGGCCGAGATCGGAGCCTTTGAAGTTGGGAATTTCGCTCTCTTGTGCTGCCCTGCTGCCCGCCCACATCCGCGACGAGCGCGCAGGCGCCCTGGGACGGCCCGGGGCACCAGCGCGCGGCGAGCGTCGGCGCCAGGGCCCAGGGCCCGTCGTCGCGCTTCCGCGTCGTCGTCACGCCGGCGTCCCTGGCCCGGAACGCGAGCCGCGCGCTGGCCGCGCTCAAAAGCAGGTCGTCGTCGCGGCGGTAGGCGCCGCGGCCCGCGTCCATGCGGTGGACGACGCGCCGCGCGTCGGGGAAGGCCGCGCGCACGGCCTCCTGCGCCGCGCCGTCGCCGACGCGGCCGGGCAGGAACCACGTCGCCGGCGGGCCGCGGCAGTGCGCCTCGACGGCGGCGAGCGCGCCCGCCGCGGGCACGCCCACGAGCAGGCCCGCCGCGCCGCCCGCCGGCGCGACGGCGTAGGCCGCGTCGCCGCCGTCGCAGTGCGCCACGCGGAGCACGCCGGGCAGCGCGGCGCTCACGGGCGCCGGCGCGCCGTCGCTCGGCGCCGGGAGCACCTCCGCACCGAGCGCCGACGGCGGTCGTCGTCGCCGGGCGTCGGCGCGGAGGAGCGCGTCGGCGTCGAGTGCGGCGAGCGCGAAAAGCGCGGCGAGCAAGCGATGGGCCAGCATGGTGTGTGCGCTACTCGAGCGTGCGATGCACCATAAGCTTGCGGCTATTCGGCGAGCCGAACGCGCTGGATGCCGATGGCATAAGACCCGAGAGCATGGACACCGAGGTCCACTGGACCGTCATCGCGCGGGAGGCGTACGCCCGCAGCCTTAAGCAACCGCCGGCGCCGGCGCCCGCCGCGCCCGCGGCCGCCGCCGCCGCTCCGAGCGACGCCGCCGCACCGGCCGCCGCCGCCGCTCCGAACGACGCCGCCGCCACCGCGCCCGCGGCCGCCGCCGCCGTCGCTCCGAGCGACGCCGCCGCCACCGCGCCCGCGGCCGCCGCCGCCGCACCGAGCGACGCCGCCGCCGCGCCCGCGCCCGCCGCGCCGCCGCCGCCGCCGCCGGAGCCGGACTGGCTGCTCTACGCCGCGCGCTGCGGCGGCAACGTGGTGCCCGAGACGACGGGCGACGAGCTCTTCCTCAACACGCAGCGGCGCGTGCGCGAGGGCCGGTCGACGAAGTGGGCCGCGTCGCGCGCGCGCTCGGCGTCCGCCGCCGCCGCCGCCGCCGCGGCGCCGCCGCCGCCGCCGCCGCCGCCGCCGGCCGACGCGCTGCCCGCGCGCTTCGCGCGCGCGCGGACGTCGCTCGCCCTCTGGCTCGCGCTCCGCGACGAGGGCGCCGTCGGCGTCCGCGCGCGCAAGTCCGCGCTGCTCCGCCTCGCGGAGCTCCTCGCGTGCGAGGCGTCGAACAACTCGCAGGAGACCGTCGAGGGCCTGCAGCGCATGCTCGCGGCGCCGCTCCCCGGCGACGACCGGTCCGCCATGGCCCAGCTCCGCGCCGTCGAGGCGACGGTCGCGCCGCTCTTCGAGGACGACGTCGTCGGCCGCCGCTACGCGGACGACCGCGGGCCCGGCGACGTCACCGTGCTCTTCAAGATCCCCGAGGACGGCGACGACGAGGCCCTCTACGTCTACGGCGCGCTCCTCCGCGACGCGACGCGCGACGACGACGGCGCGGTGACGATCTACCCGTCCTGGGCCGTGTCCGAGTGGGACGCGTCGGACGTCGCCAAGGCCGCGCTCGTCGCGGGCCGCGACGGCGCGCCGCCGCGGCCCGGCGGCGCCGCGGCGGCGCCGGCGCCGCGGCCCTTCGCGCCGGGCGACGCCGTCGCCGCGCGGTTCCGCGGAGGCCGCGCGCACTTCCCCGCGACGGTCGCGCGCGTCCACGCGGACGGCGCGCTCGACCTCGCCTACGACGACGGCGACGCCGAGGCCCGCGTCGACCCGGCGCTCGTCCGCGCGCTCGCGCCGGGCGAGGCGCGGAAGCGCGCCGCGAAGCGCGGCCGGCCGCCCAAGGGCCCGGCGCCGCGGAAGAAGCGCGCGGGGGGCGGCGACCGCGAGGCCGACATCTAAGGCGGCCCTGTGCTTGAGTCGGTCGCGGGGTGGGCGTGCCTGCCGCTCGGGATGTCTTCGCAGCTTTTGGCACTCGCCCAAAATCTGGCACAAAATTTGCCACAGCGGATTTTTGAGCAGTGCTTGAGCAGTGCTATGTTTGGGGATGATGTCGACGAGGCTCAGGCTCGTGAGTTTGCGATTCAGAATTTTGAGTACGCAGCTTTGTGGGTCGTGGAGGGTGATCTTGAGGCTCTATCTTGCCATCTGTATGAATATGGTCATTCATTTCACATCGATTCTGTGAACGACGACGGCGACACATTGCTTCATCTCGCGATCAAACATGATTTGTCGTACGATACAGTTCGCACGCTCCTCGCTTACGACGCATCGGTAAGGGAGCGCGACGCTGACGGTCATACACCCGAGGAAATAGCCTTCCTGAAGGGAAGCGACGACGCGGTCATCGCGGTCCTCGAATTGGGCGTGGTCGCCCAGTCGCGGGACTGCGGCGGATGGGCAAGAATCGTTCAGAAATTGTTTCAAACCTGGGATATAAGCAGTGCTTCTCCGAGCTACGAGGCCTACTTAATGGCCTTGCGTCTCAGCAACCCAGATCTTGAGCACAACGCGTGCGAGTGGCTCCGCGGCTTCTGCGAGCGGCATCCAGAAACGCCCGAAGCGCGTTTGTGCGTGGCGATCATTGATCGATGTGAGAAGATTTGTCGCCAGGAGTGGAAGATGCAACTCGTCATGCTCCGGGCTCTGGTCCTCGAGGGCCGCGCGATTCCGGTTCCGGCGGGCGGATTCTCGGACGGCCTGACGCCGCCGGACGGCCCGATGTCGCCGCCGGGCGACTCGCCGTCCTGGAACCGCGCGACGCCCCACGAGTCGCCCTCCTGGACGGGCGACAAGGCCGCCGACGAGGCGCCCTGGACCGGCGACAAGGCCGTGTGGACGCCCGAGCCGCCCGCCGCGACGTCGTCGCGCGAGGTCCTCCAGCCGCTCTCCGAGCGCTTCTACGCGGAGATCGAGCCGCCGCGCGTGACGCCGCCGCCGCCGTCGCCCGTGGACTTCGGCGCCGCCTTCGAGCCCCCGCGGGGCCCGCGGCCGCGCGCCGACTCCGTACAATTGGCCAAGTTCTGCAGCAGCGCGCAGTCGGAGCTGGACTATGGCGGTTACGAGTATGCAGGCTGGGACGGTTTCCTCACTCCCCCTGACGACGAGGAGCCAGAACTGCGTCCATACATCGCTGCATTGACCTCGCTCCCCAGCAGGGCTTTCGCGACCGTCCTCAAATTCTGGGGCGGCCAACCCGTTCGCAAGTCCGACATCCGTAGCTGGGCCCCGCGTCACCGTAGTGACTTCTGGTGATTCGGCCGTCAGACCCCCTCCCCCGCCTTCCGGAAGTAAGTCGCCTCGAAGTAAGTTCTACCCTTACTCCGGCGCGCTCGTCATGTAGTTGCCGCGGACGCGCGACTTGACGACGTAGGCCCGCCCCCAGACGTGGCCGTGCTCGCAGGCGTAGCAGGACACGCGGCCGTCCTGGGCGGCGCTGAGCACGTTGACCTCGTCGGCCGTGTCGAGCGCGTCGCGGTGCTCGAGGACGTCGAGGTGGTCCGCGAGTACCGCGCGGACGAGGTGGCCCCGGCAGCCGTGGGCGACGACGCGCCGCGAGTCGGCGCCCTCGCCGGGCATGAGCCGCTCGTAGCCGCCGTCGAGGACCGTGTCGTCGAGGACGACGGCGCCGCCGCAGCCCGCGACGAAGCACGCCTTCTGCGCGGAGACGAACGTCGGGTCGCGGTCGCGCGCGCTCGCGAGGTGGAGGCAGCCGGCGCGGCGCAGGCGCGCGTCGGCGAAGCCCGCGAAGACGCAGCCGACGATGCGCTCGCCCCGGTCCCGGTCCCGGGGGTCCTCGTCGACGAGGACGACGTCGCACCGGCCCGCGGACCAGAGCGTCGCGCCCGCGGCGGCCGCGCCGGGCCGCGCGCGCGCGGCCGGCAGCGCGTGGGGCAGCGACGCGCCGTCGCCTAAAAGCTTGCCGAAGCGGCCCGACGCGCCGAGCCGCGGCCACCGGGCGCCGTCGAGCAGCGCCGCGGCGTTCGCCGCGAGCGTCGCGGTCCGCGCGGCGGCGCCGACCTCGCGCGCGGGCGCGACGTCGCAGGCGCCGTAGACGTGGTGCCCGCCGAGCCGGGACCGCTCCGCGGCGCGCCGCCGCGCCTCGGCGCCGTCGACCGACGCCTGGCGCCGCTCGAGGTAGTCCTTCTGCGGCTCCTCGAGCGCCTCGAACCACGCCTCGCGGTCGCCGGCCGCCTCGAAGGCGCGCGCGAGCGCCTCGCCCCAGAGCTTCCCCGCGGCGACGTAGCGCAGCGCCCACTTCTCGTCCTGCGTCTCCTGGACCGTGTTGGCGAGGGACCGCTGCAGCGCGCCGAGGTCGCCGAGCGCGCCGTCGCCGTCGAGGGCGCCGGAGAAGATGTCCGGGAGGTCGTCGCCGCAGCCGGCCCGCGGCGACCGCAGGGCGTCGCCGTCGAAGGTCGCCATGGCGCAGCGGCCGGGGCAGCCCGCGGGACGATCAGAGCTGCGCCGCCATAGCCGCGGGGCAGCCCCGACGTCGTTCGAAAGGGCAAGGGGATCTTCAACTATCGATAGTTGAAGATCCCCTTAAAAACCTTTACCCGCTCCCACGCACGCGTCCAAGGGGAGCTTCACCATATCGGGGCTAGATACAGTGCCCCTTGACGCGTCCGACCTCGACCGGGCGAGCCGCGAGACGGGCGCCGCCGGCGGTGGAGATTACGCCCCTCCCTAGTCGTCGTCGTCGTCGTAGAACGGCACCTGGGGCTCCTCGACCTCGCGGCGCTTCTTCTTCTTCTTCTTCTCCTTCTTCTCCTTCTTCGGCTTCGCCGCGGGCGCGGCGGGCGCCGCGGGCGCGTCGTCGTCGAAGCCGCCCATGGCCGCGAGGATCGCCGCCTTGGCCGCGGCGCTCATCGCCGGGCCCCCGCCGGCCCGCGGGTCCGGCGCGTCGTCGACGCGGAGCCGCGCGCGCCGCGGCCGCCGCGCGGCCGCGGGCGGCGGCGCGCCGCCGTCGCTGCCGTCGTCCGCCGCGGGCCGCGGTCGAAGAACGACGGCGGCGCGGGCGCGGGCGCGGGCCCGTCCGCGTCGCCGACGAGCGGCGCCGGCGCCGCGGCGGCGGCGTCCCCGGCCGCCGCGCCGCCGCCGCCGCCGCCGCCGTCGTCGTCGTCGTCGTCGTCGTAAAACGCGGCCCCGCCGGGCGCCTCCTCCTCGAAGGCGCCCGTGACGGCGCCGTCGGGGGGCGCGGTCATCGTCGCGTCCTCGTCGCCCTCGCCCTCGCCCGGCGCCGCCGCGGGCTCGAGCTCGGGCTCCGGCTCCGGTTCCGGCTCGGGCTCCGCCGCGGCCTCCGGCTCGGGCTCCTCCGGTTCCTCGGGCTCCGGCTCCGCCGCGGGCTCGGGCTCCGGCTCCGGCGGTTCCTCGGGCTCCGGCGCCGCCGGTTCCTCTGGCTCCGGCTCCTCCGGTTCCTCGGGCTCCGGCTCCGCCGCGGGCTCAGGCTCCGGCTCCGCCGGTTCCTCGGGCTCCGGGGCGGCCGCGGGCTCGGGCTCCAGCCCCGCGATTCGATCGATGGCCGCTTGCATCGCCGCCGCTTCCGCGACGATGTCGAGCGCCGCCGCCGGTTCGGGCTCCGACGCCGCCGCCGGCTCGGGCTCGGGCTCCGACGCCGCCGCCGGCTCGGGCTCGGGCTCGGGCTCCGGCGCCGGCTCGGGCTCGACCGCCGCTGCCGGCGCCGGCGCCGCCTCCGGCTCGGGCTCCGGCGCCGGCGCCGCCTCCGGCTCGGGCTCCGGCGCCGGCGCCGGCTCGGGCTCGGGCTCGGGCGCCGCCGCCGGCTCGGGCTCGGGCCCGGGCCGCTTGGGCGCCTTGGGCTGCTTGGGCTGCTTGGGCTGCTTCGCCGCCTTCGCCGCCTTGGGCGCCTTGGGCGCCTTGGGCGCCTCGGCCGGCGGCCGCGCCGCCTTCCGCCGCCGGGCCTCGGCGGCCTCCGTGGGCGTCGTCGCGAGGCCAAAGGACTGGGGCCCGTAGAAGTCGTCGTCGCTGTCGTCGTCGTCGCCCTCGGACGCGGCGCCGCCCGGCGCCCGCGGCGGCGCGCCGCCGCCGTCGTCGTCGTCGTCGTCGTCGTCGAGCCACGCGTCGAGCGCCGTCTTCTTCTTCGCGGGCGCGGGCGGCGGCGCGGGCGGCGGCGCCGCGGGTCGCTTCTTCTTCTTCTCCTTCTTCTCCTTCTTCTCCCGCTTCTCCTTCTTCCGCCGCCGCCGCGCGTCGTCGCCGTCGTCGCCGTCCGCCGCCGCGGCCGCGCGCGCCGCGGGCTCCGGCGGCGCCGCGACCGCCGCCTCGTCGTCGTCGTCGTCCTCCTCCTCCTCCTCCTCCGGCGCCGCGGGCGCGGGCGGCTCCGGCGCGCGGCCCGGCGGCGGCGGCCGCGGCGGCCGCGCGGGCGCCGCGGGCCGCGGCGCGTCGTCCGCGGGCGGCGGCGGCGCGTCGTCCGCGGGCGGCGCGGGCTTGCGGCGCGCGTCGTAGGCCTGGACGTGGTCGTCGTAGGAGCTCGCGGCGATCTTGTCGTCGAGGGCCGCGGCCGCGTCCTCGAGCATGGCGCGCGACCGCTCGAGCAGCCGGAGCTGCGTGTCGACCTTCATCTGGAGGAACGGCACCGCGAGGTAGTCGTAGAGCAGGCCGAGGCCGAAGCAGTTGGCCATGCTGCACTCGAAGCAGCGCGCGCGCGTCGCGCCGCCGGCGCCGGCGCCGAGCGCCGCGACGGCGGCGGCGACGTCCGCGAGCGAGAGCGGCGGGCCGCCGTCGCCGCCGCCGCCGCGCCGCGGCGCCTCGGCGGCCTCGGCGGCGTCGCGCGCGAAGGCGTTGGCGTGCGCGTCGCCGGCCGCGGCGTCGCCGGCCGCGTCGCCGCCGCCCGCGTCGCCGCCGGCCGCGTCGTCCGGCGCGTCCGGCGCGTCCGGCGCGTCCGGCGCGGCGCCGCGCGACGGCTCGCGGTCGCGGAAGTTGACGAGCACCGCGGCGGTGACGCCGGGAGGGAGCGCGGCGAGGCGCGCGAGCGCGTAGTCGAGGGAGCCCCGCCGGTCCGGGTCCACGAGGAAGATGGCGGCCTGGCAGCCCTTGTAGACGTCGACGGTCCGCGCGTCGAGGAGCCCGAACGTGCGCGAGCCCTCGCCCGCGGCCGCGGCCGCGGCGGCGTCCGCGGCGCCGCCGTCGTCGTCGAGGTCCGCGCGCGCCGCCTCCGCCGCCGCGTCGAGGTCGCCGAGCGCCGGCGCGGCGTCGGCCGCGCCGAGGCCCCGGTCGACGACGTCCCAGACGTCGACCTTGATGGGCTCGGGCGCGGACTTGAGCTGCCAGTTGATCGTCGCCGTGCCGATCTCGCGCGTCGGCTCGTAGCCCGCCCCGAACGGCAGGCCCTGGAGCCGCCGCCAGAGGCTCGACTTGCCGCTGCCGCGGCAGCCGCGCACGACGACCTTCATGTTGTAGTGGACGCCGCCCCGCAGCTTCGCGCGCATGCGGCTGTCCATGCGCTTGATGTTGCGCGCGCGCTGGGCCTCCTCCTCCTCCTCCGTCGGCGCCGGCGCGCTCTCCTGCGCGCCCATCGCGGACGGCGGCGCGGCGCGCGGTCGAAACCGACGCGGCACGCGGCGTCGGCGCCGACGCCGCCGACGCGCCGACCTGCGACGCGGCTGTGACGAGCTCGAGCTCGTCGCGAGCTAGTTTTACCTCAGGCGAGCGCTTTGCTTGCACGCCCGCCCATGTTGAAGCCGACGCTGCTCCGTCCAGCTCGCGGGAGCTCCTCCGACTTCTCCTCCGGAGCGTGGTCCGGGACATCCTCCGAGAGGCCTCCCCCGGCGACCGGACCTCGCCGTGTCGGGATATGCGGAGTACGGTAGGAGTGTCGGGCGCGCGCGTCGACGCGTGCCCACGGGCGGAAAACGTGGGGCGCGAGGAGGCTAGTACAGGCTCGTCTTCTTCATGATTCGCAGGAACTCGTCCTCGTTGATCTCGCCGTCGCCGTCGCGGTCGGCCTCGTCGATCATCTCCTGGAGCTCCTCGTCGGTCATGTTCTCGCCGAGCTCCTTGGCGACGCGCTTCAGGTTGCGGAACGAGATCTTGCCCGTCTCGTCGTCGTCGAAGAGCCGGAAGGCCTTCAGGATCTCCTCCCTCGAGTCCTTCTCGGACATCTTCGCCGTCATCATCTCGAGGAACTCGGAGAAGTCGATGGTCCCCGAGCCGTCCTTGTCGATGTCCGAGATCATCTTTTTGATTTCCTCCTTCTTGGGCTCGAAGCCGAGGGCGCGCATGGCGACCTTGAGCTCCTTGGCGTCGATGGTGCCGGAGCCATCCGTGTCGAAGAGGTCGAACGCCTCGCGGATCTCCTGCTTCTGCTCTTCGGTCAGCTCGAACTTCTTGCTCTTCTGCTTCCCGCTGGGCGCCATGGGACCGTGGGGAGCGGCGGAGCGGGCGGCGCGAAAAGGGCCGGCCGGGATCAACGGCGAGGGCTGTGCGTCGAGCTTTACCGGCGGGCTGCCTCGAAAGCTTTGGCGGGTAGCGCTCGCGACTTGCTTGATACAGGCAACGTATCTACCTAGGCCGTGGGGGGATTCGTCAAAGCCACCGCGCTCGCGATGGGTCCCGAGGCGTGGACGCGAGGAGCACGACGACGAGGCGCGCGACCACCGTGCCCGCGACGACGCCGTCGTGCCGCCCGAGATTGGCCGTTTCGCGCGCCACCGGCGCGCGGAAGGACGCGAGGACGGGGTGCGACCCCCGGGACGAACCCGGCCGTCCACCTCGAGCGGGGCTCGTCACGGCTGGCGGCGGCGCGGCGGGGGGTTGCGCTTAGGCGATCAGCCGCGGGGCGCGGGCTCTTGCGGCCGGGGCGATCGGGGCGCCACCGCGGGCGGGGAGGCCTCGAAAGTGCCCGAGCACCGAAGAGCTCGACGTCCTCGAGCTCCCGCGTCCTCCGCGAGTTGGGCGTGTGGGCGCCCGACTCCATGTCCCGTTCGGGCGGTTCGTCGCCCGTGTCCGTGGGCGCGGAAGACCAGCCCTTCGGGGAGCGGCTCCTCGGCGGCGGCGACGCCATGGACGACTACGGCAGGCGGCGGCCGCGGGGGTGCCTCGGGCGCCTGGGCCCGCTGCTCTGCCGGTGCCTGGGCCGCCTGCGGCGGCCCGGCGTTTCGGACGAGGTGCGCGAGTACGGCAAGCTCGAGCGCGACACGCGCAACCCGCTCGCGGCCGACGGCGCGTCGGAGACGCTCGTCGACGGGCCGGGCGAGGTCGAGGTCACGGAGCGGAG